TCTACAAACAAAACACTGTGTGGAAAAACAATTTAAATATATCGACTCTTCTTTTTCCTCTAATAACGTGCCTTACACTAGAATTATTCTGTCCTGCAACAGTATCTTGTAATCTCGGCTTCTCAGGATGGGATGTATCTTTGAGCAATGCAAGTAGACCATAGGATAGAGAACGTGAACCACGCAATCCTTTGTGAATCGAACACTTTTTGAAATTCTTGTTCCCTATAATGCTCCAGCGGATTCGACATACCACGAATATACCTCGTTGGTAAATGAAGTAGAGGGGTTGAGGACCTCTGGGAGTGCTCACCCGATTCAAATAAATCACGTTCTGCCATTTTCACTTATATTTATCACTGCAATAAGCATACGATATAAAAAGCAGACAAAGTCCAAATTAGAACTGATGTTAAAATCGGTCGACTCTGAGCGGATGTGGAGGGGGCACGGGACGAAGCAAAGAAACCAGCATAGCCTCAAATAGATGCAATATCACGTCCTACCCTATTTGATAGAGATGGGCGGTTATTGATAAAAAGTCAGTTGTGGATTAATCGGATATTTTTCTAAAACTTGCATTGACAAATTTAGACGTCGGTTCAGAGGTGGAGGTGGCAAGTATTGGAGACTGAAATATGAATACGGGAGTATATCCAGGATGCCTATATGCATTACAGTTAGAAAAGAAATTGAACTTTCTGATCTAATAACCGCACATTATAAAATAACGTGTTGAACAGGCCGATCTAAGAAACCGGTTATCCAAATCACAAGTTATCTTTGCCCATCCCTACTACCTACTATTTTGATTCATGAATAGATACAGGAGGTTAAACTTTGTGGATTAAACTGCGTAAGGGATATATGTTTTGTATGAAGCTAATCCTTTCTTTCACGTCAGATAACCACTTGATTCGTAACGTTCAATTCGACTCTCGGTCAAAGCCTAAGTACCGAGCTTTAGGCAGTCAGGCTGGTGGAACATGTACCCAAAGGATTCACCCTCAACTTGAGTACCTGCATCTTGCTTTTGGATGTCTCAAAAACCTTTGACAACGTGTGGCATGCGGGTCTCTTCTATAAACTAATACAAAATTGTTTCTGTTTTTCGCTTCTAACAACTACTAACATCCTGCGTCGAAGGAAGTTTCAGATCAAATTTAACGTTTTCTCAAGGTTCGGTCCTAGAACCAATCCCTCACTCGCTTTTTACTCAACAACTGTGGTGTGAAGTCTACCTCTATGCTGACAACACTGCGCCAGTCAAGTACTGGTAATCTGGTTCACGTCAGATTACAAGATGCAAAGGAGGAAGTACTAGAGTGGGCGGAACGATGGCTGATTTGATTAAAAGTAATCATTCGAAAGTATAGGTATTGTAGAAGAAAACGTCGCGGTCCTCACTCGAGGTTTCCGCAGACGGTAGTCGTATACAATGAAAAAATTATGTCATGAACCTCAGGGTCACCCTTGATAATGGCTTGACCTGGCAAAAACATACAGCAGCATTGAAAACAAAATTCCAAATTACTTTCCACAACTATATCACTTGATATTAGCAAAGCAATTTGAATAAAAGTTATTATTCTTTTTTTAGTGTTTCTTTCTTCATACAATGTTTTTATTCTTCCTGGGCACAGTTTACATGAATTATCCCCTTTTATAATTAAAAAATAATTGGGAAAAAATTTATTTATGTTCCCTTACTAGCTTTGGCGTATAATATAGTTTACAACACGATCTAATAAATAAGAAACGTTCTTTGAGTTGTTCGAGTTCCAGCAGCCTCTGAAAACGTATTTATATCTGAATAACCGTAAAGTTTTAACTAACTTTGGTGCATAGTGTCCTCTTATTTTTTAAGAGTTACTTTTTGTTAAACATGCAACTGGACGTACCTACCTAGACTGTCCATTAGCTTATTTCATATGAAAATGGATTTTGCTCTTTAAAGAATCTGCCCCTTTATCCAAAGGTGGACAGTCTACACTTTTTAAATTCTATAAGTAAAAAAAGTACTATCACAGAGATCGTCAAGCACCACTTTAACATGTTGTACAACACTGTCAAGAAAGTAAAATGCAGGGGCCTTATTGGAATCAGACATCCTCTGCTTGTAAGCAGCCAACTATGTCTCTCAGTATTATCTTACTTTTATTTGCCAAAATAAAAAGGTTTTGTTTTTCCTCTGAAAAGGTATATTGCAACAGATTATTTAATCACAGTACCTTTTTTTTCATATATACCAAATTCTGCTTTTTACATCAGTGCTGCTACTGGAAATTAAACTTCTTATCAATGTAAAGCTAGGCCTAGTTTGTTCTATTGGTAGCTCACCAGATTGGTTTTATTGTTTTTAACTATATGGTTATATTGTTGTCTATTATTAATGCATAGCAGGGTTGAACTTCAAACCAAACTGAATTCATATACGCAGAATATTCAAATATTTCAAATTGATAGTTTGAACTTGATTATATATTTTTGAATGATGGTAAACAGGTTAGATTATTTCCAAAAAATAAGCATTTTTCATTATCTCCATTAACCATGCAAAGTTCTTTAGAAAATGTTGAAAATTGAAGTTCTCTGCAATTCGATTCAAGGTTTGGCCCTGAGGCTGACTGCATCAGTTTTCTTATTTCGAACCACATAGCTGTATTGTTTATCGTGGCCAGCAGCTGAAGCTTTTGTTTTTGGTGAATATTTTTCTTTTGTAGTCTGCATTGTCAACAGGAACTAAAAACCACAATTTATACAAATAATATATACACAGAACATTCAAATAATTGAAATTGACAGTTTGAAGTTTTGATACGATACATTTTCATTACAGCTTCCCATTTAAAAAAAAACTTTAATGCTTATATCAGTATATATATATATATAAACAGGTAGGAAAATAATGGGCAAAATCCGCAAAAAGGAGGAAAGTGGATTCGAGCAGAAAATAGGATAGGTAACCCGAGCGATACGTATTTCTGCTGGTTGGCTTCATCAGGCCCGAAATGAATGCACATATGAAACTACAAAAGTAGATACACATGCCCACACATCCGGATACGGGTGTAACCTGAACAAACGAAGTTGGAGGGCAAAAAAACGACACACGAAGTCCACAACAAGAGCCAACCTACACATTGTTGTATAAAATGGCTATACGACCTCGAATTTTCAAGGAGACGTCTAACCACAACCACGCGGCCGGTTATAGCCACTTGCTGTGGTACTTCAAGCCCAAAGGATCTACAAAGAGAATATGATCATGCGGAGAAAGGTATAACACATGTTGTTATATACCTTTCTCCGCATGATCATATTCTATATATACAGGGTGACTTCGAAGTTGAGTCATTTATTTTAACAGTGAGTAGATCTGATCAAAAGAAATGTTTTTTTCCTTTACCATTTTTCTGGTAAAATTAAAGTAACAAAGTTATAGCCCTTTGGAAGTTTGAGTACCGCCCTGTCTCAATAATAATATTATATGCTCGTGTTTGGCAACAACAGATATAATCCGCCTTATCCGTTCATCGCATCGGAAACAAAAAAGCGAAAGAATTTGGAACGATGTTTTTACAATTATTTTCTTCAGTTGTATACAGTCAGTGTCAGTCGGTAGACGGTAACGCGTAAGTGAATAGTCGTCTCTGTTGCGTGGCTCAAATCAAAAATGGCACATGTTTACGAAAATGCTGAACTTGTGGACATGGTTCTTATTTACGGGGAGTCTTTACAAAATGATGCCGCGGCATCACGGATCTATGCGGATCGGTTTCCCAATCGAGTGCAACCAACCCCTCGTGCCTTTGTTAATGTAGTGCAAAGAGCTCGTGAATCAGGTGACTTGAGACCTCACAGAGGAGATCATGCCGGTGCTCCAAGACCGCACGATCAAATAGAACTAGAAGAACAAATTTTAGAATTAGTAAGTGATGATCCAACAGTAAGCACCCGACAAATTTCAACTCAATTGGCGATTAGTCAATATAAAACTTGGAAAACTCTACGTGAAAATCGGTTCTATCCGTTTCACATACAAAAAGTGCAGGCCTTACAACTGGAAGATCATGAACAAAGGGTTGACTTTTGCAATTGGCTTTTAAATAAACATCAAAATGATGACAATTTTTTAAATCAAATTTTAGTGAGTGATGAAGCCCTCTTTACTAGAAACGGAATTATTAATTCACGTAATTCTCACGTTTGGGCTATTGAAAATCCCCATTAAATAAGGGAAACCAATTTTCAACAGCGATTTGAACCAATCAACCTGTGGGCGGGAATTGTTAATGGAATTTTAGTGGGGCCTTTTGAATTACCAAATCGCCTAACTGGTGAAAATTATCTTGATTTCTTGCAACACAATTTGCCTGGTTAACTGGAAGATGTGCCTTTAAATATTAGACAAAACATGTGGTTTTTACAAGATGGGGTACCACCCTATTATGCAAGAAATGTGCGTGAATTTTTAAATAGACAATTTAATAATCGTTGGATCGGCCGTGGCGGTTTTGTACCTTGGCCGCCAAGGTCTCCGGACTTAAATCCTTTAGACTTTTGTTTGTGGGGTTGGCTAAAAACTCTAGTGTATAAAACACCGGTTAATACACGCGAAGAATTACGTGCTCGAATTGAGGAAATGAGTACAGTGATCAGAAATCAACCAGTGATTTTATTGCGTGCTTGTAAAGAGACATGGCTAAGACGCGCCCAGCTGTGCGTCGAGCAAAACGGAAATCATTTCGAACAGTTTTTCTGACATGCTTTTGGGCGCACAGGTCCGCACTGGAATACTTGTCGGGAGGATACTTTATAAAACAAGGTAACATTTTTTTTTTATTTTTTTTTTTTCTATTTTTACACACATATTTTGGTTTATCTTCCTTCTACAATCATTATCTGAAAATTAATGACTCAACTTCAAAGTCACCCTGTATATATATATATATATATATGCCCACAAGACTAATATTGTAAAACAAGGCCAGCACCTCAAATATCAGTCCCATTTAGTGTTTGACATTCCTTAAGCAGGGAATTGATTCCCACAGCTTTCTTGTAATTAGTTGTGGAATTTTCTGCCATGATGGTACAAAGTAATGAAGAATTTAACTTCATGCTGCAACTCCATTTTTCCATTTACACCTTGTAATGTCTTATAATTGGTGCTCCTACATCCCCATGCTCTTTTTAATATCCTGAAATCATGATTGTCAATTTACCATGGACTCAATTTCAGAACCTTTACACATTATACATACCTACTTGCTTAGTACAGCTTGTCTTCAAGTTCGTAAGTGTTAATTCTTATCATTATGACCATGATCATACAGGTTTATGCCATGCTTTAATTAACAAATTGCAGTGTAATACATATCGGTCACATAAATCAAATTCACGTTTTGTTTCTGTAAGATTCCTTCAATTATGCCTTGATGCATAAATTCCTTCTTAGAAATATCATTCACCTCCTTATCCTTCCAAAGTAAACATAGCATTTTACTGAGGAACCAACTTCTCATAAAGTCTGTGATAATGAATCACACCTGAAAATAATGCGATAAGTATATAATATGGATATGCAATGATTTGTTTTGTAACTTACCAACCTCCATCAAGAGAATAGCTTGGTTGTAAGCTTTGGACTTTCATACACACAAATATAATATTATAATATAATATATCCATGTGCATTAATTTTCTTAACTCAACAATTTCTTGAAGATACCACAGGTTGTGGATTTGTTCAATGTAGCAAGGTATTTTTGAGAGATCCATATTATTAGCAAGAAAATTATAAATTATGGATTTGCTGTCATGTGTCTTGAACGTCAAAACAACCTCAAGTCAGAACTGTCAGTATGTCAGAAATCAAAAGGCGGACATACATGTACGTTAACGAAGAAGACGTAATATTATCGAAATCAAGAACGCCATAAACGAGCCCTACAATTGTAGGGTGCGTTTATGGCCTTGGTTGTCATCCTCTTTTCTCTCCTTCAAAAATTTCTAGATTACACTCTTCCCGTGTCAGCGTCAGCGCTCTCCTATTGTTAAGATATGTTTTCCTTTTAAATTGTATGAACTTTCAGGCTGATAAAACATGATATAACTCAAAAGCAAGCACAATTTGATGCAAATAGATGTTTGTGACATAACCTCAAAATAGAGCTCTGACACGGAGAAGTAGAAAACTATGACAATCAAGGAGGCCATAAACGCGCCCTACAATTATAGGGCTCGTTTATGGCCTCCTTGATTTCGATAATATTACGTCTTCTTCGAAGACGTACATGTATGTCCTGCTATAGATTTCCCACATACCCGACAGTTCTGGCTTGAGGTTATGTTGTTTTGATGTTCAAGACACATGACAGCAGAACCATAATTTATAATTTTCTTGCAAATAATATCGATCACTCAAAAATTCATCGCTACATTGAACAAATTCCACAACCTGTGGTATCTTCAAGAAATTGTTGAGTTAGGAAAATTAATGGACATGCATATATTATATTATAATATTATATTTGTGTGTATGAAAGTCCAGAATCTTACAACCAAGCTATTCTCTTGATGAAGGTTGGTAAGTTACAAAACAAATCATTGCATATCCATATTATATACTTATCGCATTATTTTCAAGTGTGATTCATTCTCACAGACTTTATGAGATGGTTCCTCTATGGATGATAAACATTGTATGGCAAGTGCAATTATTGCATTGTCGATGTCAGAGATGATTTTTCACATTGTGGGACTCTAGATTGTGTAGAGTGTCAGGCACAGGTATGTACTCGTATAATGTGTGTATGTGAAGATCATAATTACTATTATTGACCATCGCTATTTCAGGGTGCTCATAATGCCATGGTCATGTAGGATTACCAAAAATGAAGTGTTACAGAGGGTAAACAGAAGAAATAGAGTTGCAGCATGAAGCAAAATCAGAAAAACTTTATGACAATTCCATAATTAATTACGAATGGGAAGATAAAGGAAAATCGTGACTCATCAAGGAAATTACTTTCCTGTTAAACAAACTCCTAACAACTAGATAAGTGGAAAAGGCCCAATATGTTGAAAATTGTAGTTACCTCATAGTCAGACTGGGTTAAGCCTTTAAGATAGTTTCATTGCATTCATAATTCACTCATCATTACAGGTAGATAGATGTTGCAAGAATTAAATTAAAACTCCCAACTTTATCATGAGCGTAACATGTAAGACACATTTCAGGCAAAAATGAACTCAACCTAACCTGGCTCTCGAATTTGATTTGTATTTAAACTGCTGGGTAAAAATTTAGATTTAAATCACTATTAATAATGGAGCCTTCAGGTACTGAGCATACTTCAGTGGTATCATCAAGAACAAGGAGATCAATGCACTGAGCCTCAAAGAACAATATGTTGTATTTATCAAATATCTTGCACCATATATTAATATTGTAGAATGTGGTATATGAAGAAAAAGTGAGGACAGCTAAATACAGTTTCTTTTCCAATTTGTTCATTGACTTGTAATCTCAGCATGAAAGGGAAGATTTATTAAAACTGTGGCATAGGAAAGAAAAATATTTACTGTTTGAGAAAGAAGTATCAAAAACTGAACTGGTTTGATATTTGAAACACATATGAAGAGCAGATTTTGCTAGTTGTGATAGTCACAGTAAAAAAAATTAAATCTTTGACTCGAAAGTCTGCATTTATCTCTTGAAGTATTGGTAATTGCAACTTAGTTTGTTTCCTAATTGAATGTCCTAGGGGGGGGTTCAGGTCCATTTTAAGATGAAAACTTCAAATGATTGTAGTCGTATATCCTAAATGTTTTAACTTTTGAGACACAGGGTGGTAAAAAAGGTCAAAAAAATAAATCAAGAGGCATTCTTTTAATTTTACCTGTCTGTTTTGATAGACGAGTGATGATATGCTGTTTGTTTCTATCTTATTAAAATTTTCAATCACTTCGAAGCAAAAACCGATACGAAATGATTTTTTTTAATCTGATGCGCGGTTTTTATAAAAACGATCATAACAATATTGTTAATATGACAATATCACCATGCAGATAATTTTTTGGGTGGAAATAATGACATGAAAATTGAATTCTTTTAGTCTGACGCACGGTTTTCACCTGAAAAATACAATCTATTTCTCGACATAGTGACATTGTCATACTAACGATATTAGGATCAGGCAAAGAAACATTATTTTATTTTTGTAAGCGAATACCGTGCATCGGAGTGAACAAAGCAATCAAATTTGCCTAGAAATTATGAGATTTCAATTGAAGGTTTTTATTTTAAGAGAAATCAGTTGCGTACTATCATTGTCTGCCAAAATAAGCAAGTGCAGTCGGTACGAATGTCAATTTTAATAAAGTATTCAAAGTGTTATTACAGATCGTAACAAAAAATGATTGATTTTTATAACGCTTTTAAAAGTCAAGACGTTTAGGACATATAATTATATGAAGTGTTCTTCTTAAAATAGAACCAAAAGTCGCGCTCTTAAATATTGACATTCACTTGGAAAACACCTTATATATTTTATGTAAGCAAATCAGAATTTATTAAAGGTTATTGTAATACACTATTGTAGTTTTTCATTTTAGATATGATTTTTTGACTATATATTTGCTCATATTTCCTGTTATCATTTGTACCTTTTAGATATAAAGACTTCATTTGAATACTGATACTTATGTATTTTGACATACTATCTATTAATTCCTTAACAATATCATGTACCATATTTTCCAGTTGGTACTTGCAGAATATAAATAAAAGAATACCTGGTAAAATCAATATTTTTCTTATTCTGCATTTTATACCCACAGAAATACAATAGGTTCATTCAAAAATATCTAGAAATACACATTTCATCAATTTTTAATCCTTGACGTTAACTAGATTATATGCTATTTTCTAAATTACAAGCTATGTAAACAGGGCTAAAAGGATATCTGACCAATTGCAAAGAAATCTGTCTAGTTTGGGGGTACATGAGATCATTTTGGAAAGTTAATTAACTCTAGGTATCAAACTTCTTGAAAAATCCAATTTAAATATATTGACTCTTCTTTTTTTTCCTCTAATAACGTTCCTTGTCTTGGAAACAATATCTTGTACCATAGGCTTATCAGGATTGGATGTTCTTTGAGCAATGCAAGTAGATCTGAAACAATAGTACTATAAGTAATGGTGATTTCTTATGCTTTACTCCTAAGTACCGATATAACATAAGTGTTAAAATATGTATTTCATATAGCATTTTTGCTAGATCACTGGATTCTTATATAACATATGGCATCTTCTTCTTCTTCTTTATTCCTTATGGCTTCTGTACACGTGTACAATCCGCCAGCTCATTTGTTGTGACTGTACTTTGTCTGGCTCTCAGCCATGTACGAGTCACCGTATTGTCTCGAATTCACGTGTAGAAATGCTGCAAAATATATCTATATCTTCTGCTGTATTATTTCTAGAGCTGAGATGTTGCTATTTGATGATTTGATGATTGATGAAAACCTTTACTTATGCTTTCTAAAGACAGATAGCACAACACAGGTATAGACTTTTCTCGTACCGGGGCAACGGAGGTACATTACACACACCCTAAATGTTGCCTCGGAAAAGGATTAGCACCCAGGGTTTTAAAAGATGGAGATCTGAAACAGTTATAATATTATTTTGTTTGTCTGAATGAAGTAGGTTAATAGGTATATGACGTTCATGTTGATATTTGCAAGTATTAATTGAATGTTAAAGGGGGCATTGACTCCAGCTTTTCTTATCTCTTCATATAGATGAAAACCTAATATTTGATTACAATATTCAAAAAGCCACTTTATCAAGTTTCCTGTGACATTTCATCTCTCACATCCAACATTAACTATTACACACTTGAGAACCCCCTTCCCAGGCATAACAAAGCTCCTCTTGAATTCAATAGTTTTTAACTTTTATGAATATACAGGCTTACGCCTACCTTAAATTTACAAATTGCAGTGTAACACATGTCAGTCACAAAAAGCAAATTCACTTATTTCAGTAAGGTTGGCTCCTTCAGACATGCTTTCAAGTGCCGGGATGCATGAATCTATTCTTAGGAAGATCATTCGCCTGTTTATCCTTCCAAAATAGATATGGAGTTTTGTATGCAATATCACGATGGTTTATATCTGCAAAAAAGATGCTTAGATTCAAGAAACATCAAAAATTTTACACCTTGGTGTGGGCTACAATTTTATAATATTTTTTAGAGTTATAGTCTGAAATTTGTAGGTTAAGGTACCCACTAATATAAAAAAATACCAGTTAGGCCAGGGCATGTTTAAACTCAATTTCAGAGCATTTACACATTATACATACTTGTAGGCTGACACCATGCAATCCAAAGTCTAACAATGATTTGTGAACATCCATCTCCCACATCAACAATGCAGTTGCACTTCGCATACAATATTTCTTATCCAACATCTCATAAAGTCTGTGAGAACGAACCACATATGAAAAAAATATATATAACTATATAAATATGAATATGCAATGTTTAAAAATTTTGTAACTTACCAGCTTCATCAAGGAACAGGTTTGTTGTAAGCTCTTAGGCAAATATATAT